TTTATTTCTGAGAGATTTTTGACGCACGAAAGAGCAGTAGTGCTGATTAGCGGATTTGACATATTATATCTTTAATATTTTTTGTTTGTTTACAATTTTTGTTTGTTTATTTACAAGGTAAGCCGGTAGAAAATGCCATATAACATTAAGCTCGTCTTTTGTACTAAATCTTTGGTGCAATAAAGAATAAAATAAATAATAAATGTTTCTTCTACCACTGAAGACTTAAATCAGCAAATAAACTTACGATTAACAATTTCAGTAGTGCCAGTGGGTATCGAATTACTTGTGTACTATGAAATTTAACACAATAATTTCGTAGTTAGTTAACTAAGAAGAATAAATAATTAATAAAATAAAACAGAATTTACATATCTTCATTTTTCCTTTCCTTTCCACCATCGGACAACAACTTTGGCTTCAAACCAAACGGTTTGCTTCGTAGTAGATTCATGTAGACTTTAAACAAAACACCTATGAACATAAACATATCATAATAATAATAACTGTTACTTGGTGTTCACACTTTACTCATACAGAGAAAATAGCTACGACGAAATACGTCTTTGGGTAATTTAGTTTCAGTATAACTAATTAAATTTTTCAACTTGTAAATGAGATTGTTTTTGATTAAACTGAAAGACATTAAGACCAATCATCTTTATCTACAAAATAGTCATTCACTGTGTAATACGCTTTCCTTATGAGTGACTCTTTTATTTACGTCTTTTTAAAGGGTAAGTTTACTTTATTTTTGGGTATCTTATTTAAGATGCCTATACATTGTCCTGCAAAGGAGTTACCTTCTTACTCTCTTCAGTCTGAAGAAAGGATCCAGTAATTTATGCTCATTTTTGGTGAAGATTTTATGAATATCACTTTTTATTCTAAATAATTAAGTATTTTATACTTACCTACATGTATAATATTTGAATATATTAGACTAGCGGATACCCGGCGTATGCTACTACGCTAACGAAAGAAATACGTTTTGTTTATTTTTTGTGAAAAAAAGGAAATTTTGTTTTTTTATTAACTTTTATATAGTGTCTAATGCAAGGTTTTAGTGGTCTAAAATCATCTTCGCATTATTGCCTTTCTAAACAAACCGGTATTTGGTACATCGGTTGGATGGTTTCCAAGTCTATGACGGACATAAGTGGAAACAATTTTTATGTTTTATATAGATAAGTATATTATTGCGAAGCTACATTCAATGTTTTAATTTCTTTTAACAATTCTCTCAAAAACTCTCGTGAGTTGAAACACAATTATTTTTGTGGAACAATCTGATAATAATAATACTCAATCAGTTGGCACCTGATATAAAAGCTAATTTGCCAAAATTTAAAATACTAATCAAGAAGTTGTTCATACTGTTGCGCACCATAATTAATGCCACTATCGCTATCTAGTATCGAGTAGTAGAACTAGAAGAGCATCCTAGAAAATTCCATACTAGAACTTTCTACACCTGGTCGGTCGGGACCGGTATGTGCTCGAACATGTTTGATGTTTCAGCGGAAAAGGCCCTATATAAGGCCACTAAATACCGCGAACGAGTCAGTATATAGTATACGTGGTAGAGCCATGCTGCAGTTATATTAGTAGTATAGTTGTAGCATGAATGGGTCGGCTCGACCGGGGAGGGACCACGCTCTCACAGAATACCAGCGTGAAATAGTAGCTTAATGCTGCTGTATTTCGTATGGTGAGTGTAGAGAACCGGAGACCCTTTTTACTGGAAACGAGGCATTCCATCTTAGTCCTCACGGGTGACAACGCATCTGCATTTTGATTCGTAATCGAGGATAGATGTAGATGTCTATGGGCCACAGCAACCATTTACCATCAGGTGGACTGTGTGCTCGTTTGTCATCCTGTCCTATAAAAAAAAAAAAAAGTATGAATTGGCAAATCAAGCGAATACTTCGAAGCGATATAACTGCGAATTGTGTTTTATTATTAGTGTGTTTTAAGTTATTAGTAATTTGTGTAATTGGTGGTCGGTAATTAAAGTGTCAATATTTGTAATTCAATCGGCAGCTTTTACTGTTACGAACCCCAAGCTTGTAACAATACATAATGTGTTTTATAATTTAAATCAATATTTTAATACTAAACATTAATTTATATGAAGTTTTTGTTTTTTAATTATTGCATATCCGGTATGGGAAACTGGTTAACATTTAATTGCAATGTCACCCGCAAATTGTACACACACAGTTTATTGTTCTGATTTCTGATACTCATGCAAGCATCATCAAAATACTGTTTTTTTTTCTGTCAAACTTAAAAATTAAATATGTGTAGTCAGCAAACAAAACAATTTCACTTGGGTTATTCACTACGTAAGGTCATTTATGTAACACAGAAACAAAAGTGACCCTAACATCGAGCCTTGCGGAATGCCTAATTTTATTTTAGAATGTTGTGACTTAACACCATTGACGTCTAATATCTGAGTTCGCTAACTAAGATTCGACGCAATTAATTTGAGAGCCATATCCTCAACATCGTAGTGATTTAATTTCATAATTAAGGTAGCGTGGTCAACACAATCGAATGCTTTAGATAAATTGCAAAAAACGCTTATTGCCTTTTGTGAATTCTCCCATGCGTCGAAGATATGTAGGATCAGTGGAAAACCAGCACCAGTTGTCGATCTGTCTTTTACAAAGCCATATTGATTTTCATGTAACAGATTGTTAATATTGAAGTAAGTAGTTGGTTGATTCAACGTTATTTTTTCAAAAATCTGAGTACAGGTAAAACTCTAATTGATCTAAAGTATGATGGGTTATTAATGATATGCCATGTTGTTTTATTATGATATTTGAAGTTGTAATTATTTTACTTACGTATTGGGATTTAGCCGTGCGTCAAACTTTTTTAAATATTTTTGAATATTTTAGCGTAGGTTTTGAAATTGCCGCTTTTGTTATATGTCTTCATGTCATGAAGTTCGTATAAACTATTTGTCCCGTTGTAGTTGTAGCCCATTCATTAAATTTAAAGTTAGATTTTTTGAAGAATTTTTTAATTTTGTATGCGTTGTTAAATTCACTTTTAATTGTGTTAAATAATCGGTTATATAAACTGTCGGGGTCATTTTATACGTGGTAGAGCCATGCTTCACTTATATTAGTAATATAGTTATAGCACAAATGGGTCGGCTCAACCAGGGAAGGACCACGCTCTCACAGAATACCAGTGTGAAATAGTAGCTTAATGCTGCTGTGTTTCGTATGGTGAGTGTAGAGAACCGGAGACCCTTTTTACTGGAAACGAGGCATTCCATCTTTGTCCTCACGGGTGACAACGCATCTGCATTTTGATTTGTAATCGAGGATAGATGTCTATTAGCCGCAGCAACCACTTACCATCAGGTGGAGTGTGTGCTCGTTTGTCACCCTACCCTATAAAAATATGGATTCTATATTAATAATGCAGGGCGATATTTTATTTAAAAGACTCAACTTTTTTATTTAAAAGACTCAACAACGCTTAAGGAGGTAAGCGTTTTAATTGACGTTCATGTTGTCATGTTTATGTTAATGATTCTGCATGAAATTTCGTCTATTGCCTTCTTATTGTTTACGGGAAATAAATCATATTGACCACATCGGTCTATATTTGTTACATTATATGTTAATAATCGAATATTCTGTGGTCATATAATTTAAAAAAAATATTGTATAAGTAAGTCTAAAGCTGTCCTAGCCGTAATTCTCGTAGGTTCATTTAATTAGTTACTTGCTCTGAATATGATACTTGATACTGAATAAGTTACTTGCTTGAACTTACTCATTAAAATATAAATTATATTATGTTTATATATTATATAATAATAGGTTAAACATATTGCAACTTTATCAGTGCTATTCAAAAATAAACTTAATTTTTAAGGAGTGAAACAATCTGCCGGAGTCTCTGTCTTTCTGTCCGATTACAATCTGTGCGTCTTCAAGGCAATTGTAAATAGGCTTTTGTTATGCTAAGAAAATCTGAAATACTATCTATTGTTTCATCACCACTTATCAGCAATTGAGATTGTAGTCAAGCATTTGCTTATAAATTACAAACTGGATTATAAATAAGTAAAAAATAAAGAATTTATTTATCTTTGTTTACTTCAATTGTTTCACGTTTCGATGTTTTGGAAACGATAAAATCTTTAAAATGCATGGTATTAGTAATAACAGCCAGAATTTGTAAAATTTTATAGCAAATGATTTGAAGGTCGATTTTAAAATTCACAACAAATGATGGGCGATGATTGGAAATATTTTTTAATACTTTAAAACTTGCGTTCCTCATGCCAGTGAATGAGATGATAAATTACTACTGTCGACACACGAATGAATGCGAGTACATTTTTTGTTAGTATCCATTTAAGTATTTCCTTAACTGGTACCATTCTATCCATGGCCATCTATTAACATTTTCTCTGTGTTTCTTTAAAAATTATAGTGATAATATCATCTAAAAAATTAAAGCTACCCTCTTCTGTTTCACAAGGACACAAAGAATTATCAACTACCGACATGACCTTAAATAGGAAGACGGAGAAGAGAAATGACTTAATCTCATGCGTATTAATATATTTATTACAATATTCTATACAAATTTAATTTCGTACACCATGATTGTGATGTCATTGATGATTGAATGGTGAAATAGAATTTACCTACACGTGGTAGAGCCACACTGTAACTATGTTGTAGTTGTATCACGAATGATTCGGTTCTATCGGGGAGGACTACGCTCTTACTGATTACCAGCTTAAATTAGCAACTTAATGATATTGCGTTTTGTGTGGTGAGTTTAGAGAACCGAAGACAATACCGGAAACGAGGCATTTGATCTTAGGCGTCAATTGTTAAAACGCATCTGCACTTTTAATTCATAATCAAATTTAGACTTCCTTCGATCGAAATCGAAGAATAAAAATTCCTTGTGCTCTATGTTAAAAATTTTATGACAATACTTTGTTTCAGGTTTTTTGCCCTTAAGACATGGTTTTTAGAATATCAAAACTTTACATACGGGCTACAAGTTCATAATTTAAAAACAATTGGACATTATACACAAATGGTTTGGGCTACAAGTCACAAAATTGGATGTGGACTAGCACATTGTCCAGGAGGACCTTGGGGACATTTTTATAACTACGTTTGTCACTACTGCCCTGGGTAACAATTCATATAGTAATAATTAATACAGATTTATTAAACAAGCTTTTATAGGAAACCAATTATTAATCGGTGTCATGTAATGCCATTTTCGTTAACTTTATGTTCATTTTTCTTCCAGAAATTGTAACATAGAATTTTCACTGCTTTCCATCAGAAGCTTTAAATTAAAGTAACCCTTCTCTGTTTAATCATATTACCGTTACATTCTATAAAAGAACAACGCTGAACTCCTTCTTAGATTTCCTTCCCTGCTTAGACACCCACGAGATGATAATTATGGGGTAGTGGATAATTCTTACACCACCACTACACGGTTTAATCATATTATATACTTAAAATACTTGATTTAAGTACCCATGTCAATGTTATATAGTAAATTGATAACTATCACGATAAATTAAAGGGAGAATATTATGTAAATGTTAGTGAATTTGGTTTAATATAACTTAATATAACTTTTAACAAAAAGTGAAAACCGACTTCAAATTACTAAATAAGAAGTTATTTATTTGAAACCCTTACGGGTGGAAATTTTTCTGCAAATTTGTATGGAACAACCCTTGAAGTATAACTTATTTAAGAAAAAAGGAATCATTAAAATCTATTCTTTACCTGCGAAGATATCATATCATCATCATGATCATCATTACAGCCCTTCACAAGTCCACTGCTGAACATAGGCCTCCCCCAAGTAATGCCACAAAGCACGGTCCTGAGCCACCTGCATCCATCGACTTCCTGCATGTCTTACCAGGTCGTCACTCCATCTAGTGGGGGATCGCCCTACACTACGCCTACCGGTACGAGGCTGCCACTCGAGAACCTTTCTTACCCATCGGTTATCGGTTCTTCGAGCTATATAGCCGGCCCATTGCCACTTCAGCTTACTAATCCGTTGGGCTATGTCGGTCACTCTGGTTTTACTGCGGATATCCTCATTTCTGAGTCTATCACGCAGAGAAACTCCGAGGATAGCCCTCTCCATAGCTCGCTGAGCGACCTTGAGCGTCCTCATACGGCCAGCAGTGAAGGACCACGTCTCTGATCCGTAAGTCATCACTGGCAACACGCACTGGTTGTACACTTTAAAGATTTCAGAGATTGAGGTATACCTGACGAGAAGATGTATCGTAATTTCCGAACGCTGCCCAGCCGAGTTGAATCCGTCGATTGACCTCTCGGTCGAAGTTGGACTTACCTAGTCGGACTATTTGTCCCAGGCAAACGTACTCGTCAACAACTTCGAGCATAGTGCTCCCAACAACTACTGGCATAGGTGTGACATGGACATTGAACATGATCTTTGTTTTGTCCATGTTCATCTTAAGACCTATCCATTGGGAGACACCATTGAGGTCATGGAGCATAGTGCTAAGGTCCTCCAGCGATTCTGCCATAAGGACTATATCGTCGGCAAATCGAAGGTGAGTGATGTACTCACCATTGATGTTAATACCGTATCCTTTCCAGTCCAGTAGCTTTAAAACGTCTTCCAACGCAGCGGTGAAGAGTTTCGGGGATATAACGTCACCCTGTCTTACACCTCTCTGCAGCTGGATAGTTTCGAACTCTGGTTCTGTACTCGGATAGCCATCGTAGCCCTACTGTACAAACACTTCAGCACTTCGATATACCGACAGTCAACTTGGCACCGCTGAAGGGACTGTAGCACCGCCCAAATTTCGACGAAATCAAAGGCTTTCTCATAGTCCACATACGCCAGGCAAAGTGGCAGATTGTAGTCTTCGGTCTTCTGTACAATCTGCTGCAGGGTATGTATGTGGTCTATGGTACTGAAGCCTTTTCGGAAACCGGCTTGTTCGGGAGGCTGGAAGTCGTCGAGTCTGCGTGCGATACGATTCGTAATGACTCTCGAAAACAGCACGTAGACGCGGCTCAGAAGGGAAATCGGTCTGTAGTTCTTCAAGAGAGCGTTGTCGCCTTTCTTAAAGAATAAGACCACCGCACTTCTGCTCCACGCCTCCGGAGTAGTGCCACCATGGAGGACGGAATTGAAGAGCTTCTGAAGGACTTCAAGTACCGGTGTTCCACCCGCTTTCAGAAGCTCCGCTGTAATTCCATCCTCGCCTGGGGCCCTGCCGTTTTTAAGGTGTTGGAGAGCCATTCTAATCTCGCTCAGATTGACGTCCGAGATATTATCGGAATAGTGTCGGGTAAGACTTTGTCTTGGATCGTTACTCACACTTGCGTGTGGCTCCAACGATGATGTGTACAGCTGCTCATAGAACCTCTAAATCTCACTCAAAATCTCAGGTGTCCCAGAAACGATGCCGCTACTTTCAGTCTTCAGCTTTGACAGTTGGCGTTTTCTGGCAGACAGATCTCTGGCAAAGATTTTGGAGCCCTGATTCCGTTCGATCGCTTCTTTAATACGAGCAATATTAAAGTTGCGTAAGTCTCGCCGCATGCATTTGGAGATCTGTCTGCTCAGTTGCCTATATGCTGTCAAATCTGTTGACGATTGCAGCCTCATCTCCCGTCTAACAGCCATGAGATTAAGAGTATGATCGGAGAGTTTTTGTGTTCTTCTGCGGCGGGTCTTGCAGAACTTTTCTCCGACCGCATGGACAGTTTCCACGAGCTTGTCATTTATATCGTCCACTGCATTGCAATCTTCTAGGCACTGAAAGCGGTTACGTAACTCGAGCTGAAAGGTTTCGGGATTGTGGATTAGAGCACGAGGGGGACGGAGCGTTGACTTCATTAGACGAGACCCCTCCAACTTAACGTTTAGGTTCAGTGTGCCTCTAACTATTCGGTGATCGCTGCCGGTTTTCACCCTTGCGATCACTGAGACATCACTGAACAGTTGGCGTCTAGTCGTCATAATGAAGTCAATCTCATTTTTTGTCGAACCGTCGGGGCTCGACCAGGTCCACTTCCTGTGGGGCCGCTTCTGGAAGAAAGAGTTCATCATAAAGAGTCCCTCTTTCTCCATAAAGTCAGCGCGCTGGCCCCTACGGTTCCGTTGCCCTACTCCAAATTTCCCTAACTTCAGCTCATCGCCTTCTCTTGTGCCTAGTATTGCGTTGAAGTCTCCCATCAACACCGTGTAGTGGGTTTTGGAGGAATGCATGGCTCTAGAAATATCCTCATACATTTCCTCCACCTCCTCATCGGGATGTGCCGAGGTTGGTGTGTAGACCTGTATGACTTTCAGCGAATACCGGTGATTCTGAGTATCAGGTACGCGACCCTCGTCGACACACTCCCAATCTTTACAACGTTGTTGACGAGAGACTTGTGGACGATAAATCCGACACCTCCTTGGGACTGATGGTCGCCCTCCCGGTAGTAGAACAAGTTGCCGGACTCGAGGATTACCGTGTCCTCCCCCTCTTTTTGGACCTCAGATAATCCAATAATATGCCAGCGCAACTTGTCTACCTCTTCTTCCAGCTCCAGTATCTTCTCGTCAGTCCTCAGGGTGCGTGCGTTAGATATCATATGAAATTCCTTAAACAATAGCACAATATGAAACTTTTCCCCCTATTTTCCACCATTGGGGGCGGAATATTTTCTTCAAAATGTATTGGGACCACCCTTGAAGTAAAGCCTATTTAATAAAAAAGGAATTATTAAAATCGGTTCGTAATATATGAATATATCGCGTAACATACGAGTACATAGAAAAAATATACATACACTCGAATTGAAAACCCTATCCTTTTTGAAGTTGTTTGAAAATAAGCTATATGCTAAGAACATTTTGATCGTTTTCCGAAAAATGCTATGACTAGAGCTGACTGTAACCGTTTTAAACTTAATTGTTCGGTTAAACCAAATTTAAAATCATAATGGATCATAGCGCACAAATGTTCACGGTTAAGATCCACCGTTTTAAATGAAAAGCGCGGGAAGTGTTGCAGCAAAATTAATAGAACTTTGTTTTTTTTTAAATAGTGAGCAATTGGCTTATGGAGTTCTATTTTTAAATAAATTTTCTCTTTAGAAACATACAACACGGTTGCGTTCCATTTTTAAATTTCGAGCATCTCAAAACTTATTGAGTGTGCCCTACGTATAATAAAAATGTAAATTGCAGATGTCTGTACATGTTATATTTTTGTAACAAAATTGATTGAGAGGGACTCTACTACTTGATAAGTAATTGAATACATTTCTATCATTTTTAGAATTGTCTGTCTGTTTATTTATTAACGTATCATGTATAAGGTACTGATTTATATCTAAATATACTGGTTATCCTGGTTTTAACACTTTAACACTAATATTACGATATATTCGCAGATTGTGAACCGATTTTAATAACTTTTTTTTTGGTTTCCTCGGAAAAAATTGTTTTCAATTGCATGGTGGTGGGGAAATCCGGAAAACGAAATTATGATAATTATGAATAATACTTATTATAGAACTACAAAAATCTGCCCCTATTGATCATTATATACAAAATATAAACAAAATTGTCTATTTATTATTGTGTCCGACTTAGTAATTCGACAAAAATATAGTGAGATCAGATACAGATAAAACTGTGCTTTTTGAGGCATAGGAATGAAACACTGCAGCTAGGTTAAGTTTAGTTTTTTTTTATTTGTTTGTAGGATAAGACAAAATATAGATACTTATGCAATTTCATTATTTTGTTAGTGTAAGTACTTAGTTTTAGGTAGGCATTGGATTGTAGTTTTCATTTAAATTTTTTTTCAATATAAATAATTATTGATGGTGTTTGCTTATTTAGGGCAATATCTTATTTGTTGTATGGAAACCAAGTATTGGCTAGAGAAATTCAGGAGAAAATTAGGGATTATGTTATTGCGGTTGTTACCCAGCCCTAATCTAGGCAATATGCAGCGTTGCATCAGTTTACGACAACCACGAGGCGCCGCGGCAGCATAACGTGTCTACTGTGTTATGTTACCGTGTGAATTCATTCTAGATTCTTCGAATTAGAGAACTTCGAGTTAGAGTCACCTCACTTAGTTGTAATAATTATTGTAAATTAAATATATATTAAATAAAAATTCCTTTTTTTTGCAACCTCTGGCTGGAGCCTACGTAATTCTGTGATTGTTTTGTTTATTTACAAAATAAAACACAAGCGAACAGTTCGCCCTATTCGTTACTTGGTTCGTTTGTGGGTCCGTTTATTTGTTCGTTCGTTTGTTTGTCTGATTGACCGACTAACTGAATATTTTTATTCAGATTAGTGTCTTTCTAAGTCTTCGCGACAGTTTTATTTATAGATAAATCATGATCACTTAGAAAAGCAAAATTACTGATTCCGCGCGGGCACAGCTAGTTTTAAATATTCGTGAATCACAGCAAACAGTAAGATAAGAATTTCATTGGGCATCGTGCACTACACCTAAATATCTTGCTTTCAAATATTAAATAAGCATTATTTTTATTTCAGCGGCAACTATGATACAATAACGCAATATCCTTATAAAGGGGGTCCTCCATGCGGAGACTGTCCACAGAACTGTGTGCAAGACACGCTTTGCACTAATGCGTGCCCGAGAAGGGATTACTACTCCAATTGTAACTCCTTGGTAAAGATATCAGACGTCTGCCGGCAAGGAACGTGTAACGCCACATGCCTATGCGGATCTAAACGGATACACAAGAATTACCCCTGGTGACGTCATAAAATATTTAAACTACCTGAATAAATTTGTAAAATATTTTTATATAATTATGATATAGCTATCTAGTGTAAGATATAAATTTGGAACTTATTAAATAAAAATTTAAGACCTTTTTTTACGTGATTAATGATTTTTTACTAAACATTTTATTTAAAGGCATCTCCAATAATTAATAGAATCAGCGATGTCAACGTAATAAGTTGACATCGCTGAATCTATTAATGTTCTTAATTCAATTATATGGGACATTTTCTGTAATATTGCTTATTCCATCTAGCTCTATTCCATCTAACTGTAAGGCCTGGGGTTCTCGGACGCAGCAGGTGACTCAACAGGTGGGGTGATCGCTGAAGCGTAACTGCTGTTACGTTTGTTACCTTCCAATAGTATTTAAAATACTTTATTTTATAATTTATAGTAATAATTCCTGTTTACATTACTGCGTACAAAGAATATCATCCTTTTTAATTAATATCTGTTATTAAATTAAAGCACATAAAATATTATGATAAGGTGCTTTAGTATATTCCCAATTTTTGTTTTTATTCAATCGTATTCCCGAGTGACCGAACAACATGTTTCCCACCCCCACTACGTCTCCGACCCAATTGTAATGCAACGGCGGATACGGCGTCCGGCGCGCGGGCATTACGACGTCGGCCACCGTACCTCGCGTCCACCTGCCGTCGCGTCATGGTCTGCGATGATGGCTTGCACGCACCATCGCCTCACGTGCGACGCAAGTCACTCCGCCGCCTTGCATCCACACGAGGCTTCAAAATACGAACTTCCAACGAACACGGCTGGATACGCGTCTTTGATGGGCTAGAACCTTTCGCTGTTGAATGTCCAAGCAAACTTGTTAAGATTTCCAAGAAGACTACAGTCGAAGAAGTAAACAAGAAGCTAGGCCTGAGTAACGAACTTACATTATGGCTTCAAACAGGCGGTGAAAATTCGCGACGTCTTGAACCGAATGAGTGTCCTTTGCAAATACAGGAGAATTTTCTTATGAAAAGTGGATGGATTTCCGAAGCACGGAGATTACGATTGGCAGTTGACCCTGAGTTGCGTCATACACTTCGTTGGTGTGCTGGGCCTTCTGGAACATCAGGCGGAGTTCTTCAATCGGGGACTATCCACTTACTTAAAGGCCATGTATTCCCACAGTGGAAACCTCGGAACGCGTACATCCTTGGGTCCAGACTATACACCTACGGTAAGGTTAGATAATTTTTCCAGTTATTGGCTGCGTTATATAATACTCCTTTATCAACTTATTTGTTTTTGTAGGTGTAACTTGGGATGTTCTAGAATTAAGCGGAGGAAGCATTGAGCTATGTCAACCTAAAGCTCAAAAGCTGGTGGTTTGCGTAAAGCCTCGTAGTCATGGAAACAGCCTGCTTGAATCTGGCGTGAATCATCTTTTTCTTGGATTCAATACAGTTTGGGAAAGAAATATGTGGTTCTGTTGGCTGAAAGAGGTAAGGTCAACTTTATGCTTAAATGTTACGTACTTCTATTTGATAAAATATTTTTCTATTTAACAACGTTGTGCATCTTGATATTTACATTACGGCGTGGATAATTTTATTTGTTACAAGTATATTTTATATCTATCGTTATTTTTAACAAAAATATAAAAAGATGTCTCTTTATTTGGGTTAATTCTATTGTAAACTTAATAATTCTATAGATTTTAGTTAGATATAAAGTTTTAAATATAATATTTCAAATAAGCAATAAATACAAAAAAAAATAAGATTAAATTAAATTACACGTAAAGAAAAACTTTCCAAACTATATTTGTATATAAATCACATAACCCACTCTTGAGCAATTCTTCAGTGTTTTGTTCCATTGCGTTGAACCATAAAGAACCTAAGCAGATGATCGGGAATTCGATTCCGGTACACTTCGTCAACTAACGAACCATAACATAACAGAATAAAATTGTTAGAAATTTCTTTCCTAATCAAATTTTTGTCATGCCTATGTAAAAAATTACTAACCGCAGGGCTGTACTGTGATATTGTTTTAACTTAATTCGTATTAGCAATCGTTGATCAGCGAAAGATTTTATACGAATTTGAAAAAGGAAGATATCGTCTTCTTACCGAAACACTTTAATTACTTCAGTATTATATATTCTTTTAAAAAAAATATAAAAAAAAATAAATGAATACAAAGATGAAGAGATCGTAACTATCTACTGGTGGTCTTAAATTGAAAGGATTTGCCGTCTGTATCCGATTTTGGCGATCATACTTGAATCGTTGTTTTCTTCATAGTTCATTCGTTCATTCCTTACAACGTATCAAAGTCCACTGCTGAACATAAGCCTCCTCCATAGATTGTCTTATAGGAAAGATATTTGCGATGGTTGCCACGTCTAGCGCGTATATTTAAATAATTTATTTTAATTATTAGATTATAATCGCAGGGTTTAATTATTTTGAATTAATACCAGGGAGATACTGCTGCCCATCTCCTTTTTCAGTTTTCAGTCGCCCGTTACGACATCTACGATACGGAACACACACGGCGGCGTTTGTTTCCTTTATACTCCCTCGATTCTTATGCTGATTGCACTTGTTTTCTTTTATTTTCCTTAATCAATTCTTACGATGTGCACACGGCAGGCAAATGATAATTTTACCATCAGCCATTTAGACCTCGATGGATTAAAAATACGTCAGCTGATATGTATTACCTAGTTTTGCCCATACTCACCACATTGGCCTGATGGGTTGGTGAGCATGGGGCCGATATTCTGGAACTGGTAAATATGCTTCAGTCAGTCTATGAAATTAGAGTTCTACGTTGTACTATCACCGAGCCATATCATTATGTGGGTGACTTAAGAAGTGGCTATGAAACTGGAGTATAGTAGAAGCATCTTTCTAAATAACTCAAAAAAAATTTTATGGTTGCCTTTTAATTAAGAAACTTACAGTCCATATGATGGTAAGTAGTAGCATATTTTAAATAAAATAGAATGTAATGAATAAAACTTTTTATAAGCTTTAATGAATGAATATTGTAACATGGATTTTCCGTCATTTGTTAATCACCACAGACTCGTCTGTCACTGTACTGGAAATACTGTTCTCCGTCGTCAATGTTTATTATTTGGTTTTCGCATTTTGTATAAATTACGCGCCATCAGTCAGGCTCCAAAGGTTCGACCGTCAATTAGTAGCTTGCACCGCGTTAGGTAAGGTTGACATTTGAATAAATAGTTAACATTCTACACTTGAAGTAGGTAATCTACTTTTTACTTGAAACTTTAGAGAACAAACACAAACTTGCAACTTTTAAAAATTCGTTAACTAAAATTAACCCATAACATTGTGCACATCGCCCTAGAAGATTTGTTACGGTTGAGATATCCAGACTGCGCGTGCGCAGAGATCGTTTCCACCGCTTGAGTACAGTCCGTTGAAACAGCCGGCGTGAACATATCACTAACGCGTTTTTGTGCTCTAGAATAAATTAATGTTAAACAAACTTGGTTTAACATTCTAACAGCGTTATTGTTTTATAGCTAAGTGAATTTAAAGTGACAGTTATTAGAAAAATCCTTTTGTTTAAAACTAGAAATGTAAATTAAAGAGATTGAACGAAAATATACAGTCCACAAGCAAGGCCACCTAAATGTCATTTATCAAGTAACATGTTCGTGTACGGAATAATGAATTCGCAGACAGGAGTTATTCCGTAGTCTATGGGAATAACAATGCCGGAGGGAGTTCGATGGCCCCCTGCGGTTACGCTTAGAAGCATGTTTAGCTTATGCTGAAATATCGTTTATCTTTTGTTTTTACCAAAAAGAACACTGTCATAATACTGTCTAATTTAAAAAGCAATCAATTCTTAGAAGGTTGTTTTTCAATGTCTCAGCCTTTGTTATTAACCATAGAAAAGAATCATGATGGTTGAAATAAATGTGATTAATTCAGAAGAAAGTGAAATAGATAGTTTGGACGTATTCAATCAACAATATAATGAAGATATTTTTCTGGATAGTTTAGAACCTTCTACGTTCAAAGGAAACAATGAAAATGGGGTAGGTTATTTTAAATTTACAAGTAACGATTATTCCATAATATGGAAACCGCAAAAGGGTTTATTTATAATCCATTGCATTTGTAATAAATGTTCTTTCTTTTTCATTTCATATATTATATCGTTTCACTGATTTTACTCGAAACCATTTTTATTGGAAAAATTTCTCTACGTCCGTTTTGCGTTAAATTTGCAAGAAAGAGACATAAAATGTACAATGTATAACATCTCTACAACAAGTATAAGATCTCCCTAGTTTTTTTTAAATAGGTTCGTAGACAGAGAAAGCTATTCTCTATCTACGCATAGGTTGCCTTACAGAGTTATATTTGCTTGCTATAGTTGGCACGGTTGACAAACGGGTTGGCAACCTCAGTATTTTAATAATATTTTGAGTTATGATTTATTTTGACAATGATGCTACCGCCCATCTCTTCCGACACCTATGGTATAAAAATTATATTTCAATGAAATTTTTAAAGTCCATAAGACAAAACCATATTATAATATATAAGTAGTATAAATAAAACACTTATTTTCAATATTTTATTTTGTTGATAAACAAATAAGCATTTGAATAGGTGCTGCCATCTTTAATAATTTCCATTTATTTTCAATTTATTACTTTTAATGATGTCACAAAACTTGGTTGGTTTTTCATTTTAAATTGAATAATTAATTAAATTAAATAACTTTTTTTATTCAAGTATGTACAAAAAGTTTGACTTCTAGAAACAATGATCATTTATTCCTATTTGAATAGAGAAATTTCATTTTTACAGCTCTTAAAAAGTAGAAACCTATTTAAATTGACACGAGTGTCAACTCATCTCTCAACTCCCGCAGCTATATTTTTAAATAAATCATTCCCTCTAGATCATAAAATAATTCAGAATTCTTAGCTAAATAGTTCTACTTTGTATACACTTCCTAAAGAACATCCTTAAAGGTCACTTAGTTAATAGTGTTAAAACACAAAGGTCTATAATTACATATAAAAAATAAGCTTTGTTGTTTATTTATTTATTTGAATCACGTATAGAAATAAATACAAAAATAATTTTTTTATTTTTTATTTTAGAGTACTCAAAGCACGCAACCACCGAACATTCTAGATTTAAGTGGAGGTGGCCGCTCGTCACTAGAAGCTGTGCTGACGCAGCATGCCTCAAACGATTTCGCGATACGCGTGTTACGTATGCGCAGTAGCGCATTATCGACGCTGCCCCCGCAGACCTGCACGTTGACAGCGCTCACTCACCTCGACATCAGTGATAACAGGATCTCTGAGCTACCTGCTGAGATATGTCAGCTCACACAGTAGGTACTTTTAAAATATTTATAAACATAATATTCAACATTTCTTTATTTGTTAAATTGCTAAAAAAAATCTACGTGTAGTTTATTAATGGTAACTTATCAGTGAATTGATTCAACAGTGGAATCAATTAAAGGAATAGCAGATATATATCACTAAGGGTACCCCTTTCCACTAGATAATAATAGTTTTCCTTCATTCGCTTATTGGTCTCAACACCGACTTAATGGTCAAAGCACGGAATTCTTACATAAGTATTATATCCCGCATAAATATATAGGTTGGTTCAATCGACTTACTTCGCCATAACGTGGCAGCTCAGGGGCAAAGTCGCGCTGTATTTCAGAGTGCGCAAGTAATTTGTGTTGGATCTCCACCGTTACTAATAAAATATTTATTAACAATTTTAAGTGCTGATTTATCACGTGCTTACGCGATGACGGAAACATCGTAAGAGAACCTGCATGACTGAGGTATAAAATATTCCGAGATTTTGTGAAATCTCGCTTCATAACCTCTCAGAAATAGACATAGTCTTGTTCCCAGCTGTGAAATGTATTAGCTATAACTTTACTTAACTTTTATTTTGACTTTTATTACGAAATATCATTAATCCTTGACCCTGATTTTGAAGAAATTTTACATTCGGAACACAATTGATGAATAAAAAAATAATCTTTTATTATATTGCGTTGACGCCACCATCACACCAGAATAGCGTAGACTAAACAAAAATGGAAGCCTAAATCACGTTGTCAAAATTACAGGAACTATATTATAGAATATACTCCGTATCCACTCCACTGGCCCACAGGGAGATCACTCCTTTTGGTGCCTCGGCTGAAGTGATGACCCTAATATAATATGAACACATCCAACATTGCAACATTTAGAAATTTCAAGTTCGTCGTCATTGTTAAGTAAGACGCGCTGGAACATAAGGCTTCCTCCACGACCTCCATCTTCAATTGCGTAACACCCCCAACCCACCAACTCAGTTCGTTACACGAAAGCCGGGCCAGGACAGACAGCGGATCTAATCCATGGCTCCGCCGCTGACTACGTTTAGGCTACGGACAGTATGGAGGGTGGCGCATCGTAATACCAACATTTCTCTTTCGCCGCGACCCTACCATCACTGCATCAGTGGTCTGGCTCCGCGGAGGACAGGGTGAGTGGCCATAACAACACTCATATTTCCCCGCGACTCTAACTTGGCTGCGGCGATATAGGAAGAGAACAACGACTAAATCATAGCCACAGTGGGCTCGCTAAGCCCCTTCCCTTCGAAGAGGCCACTTCGGGCCAGCCATTTACGTAGGGCTAGTCATTTTGGTTCCTAATAGTTCACCGTGGACAACCAAGCTGCGGTTACTAAGCCACCCACCACAATAAGATGGTGATCCGTTCAGGTTGTGGGCCAACAAGCCAGCCTAGCTTAACGAAATTCAACGCAACATTAGAGTAACGCTTCCTGTTCCCTGAGGCTATTCTCTGCGCTAGAATGTGCATATACTCGTATATTTCACAATACTCTCGCAAATTACTTGCCTTCTACTCAACTCACCGTAAACTACAAGGCGCTAGGCATTTGAGGGCGCCGTTTTACGCCACTGTAGCGTAAACGAACCGAACAACAACGAAATCCCAAACCATGCTATCAGAGATTCCAAAAGATTACATAAATGTAGGGGAAAAAGTTTCTTCGTATTTTATATGTAAATCGAAGACTTTTTTTACAGATAACTTATTGGCATCTTGTGGTAGTGAAATAATTCCGTTGCTGTAGAAATCTTGAGACAAACAGTTTTGACAGTCCTCTCTTGAAGTTAATCTAACACTCCTCAAAGAATTCTCAAGCGACCGAATCAGGTGGAACTCTGAGGGTGCAAAGTTAGGACTATATGCTGGATGCATTAACTCTTCTCTTTGTTGTTGGCAGTAGAGATCCGAATCTATGGTTTTGTCCGGCAGCAAAAACTCATAATAAACGATGCCCGTCCAATCCCACCATACGTACAAAATCATCTTATTGCGTGTTAATCCGGGTTTCGCTACAGACTGCGGAACTTGACTACCCTTTTAATCATGATCTTTTTCGCAAGTTTTTGTGATGGTGATCCAGTAATTAATCTTTTCAAAAATGGTTCGGTTTTATTACGTTTTAATAGAGAATCGTAAATGAGTACACCATTCATTAAGTTTCTTTCAGTGGGCTCGTGTGTTACCCAAATATCGAGCTTTTTTATATAGCCAGACTTTTTCAAATGGGTCAAAACTGTTTTGTAGCCAATTCGCTATCTTGTAACTACTTATATGCTAATCTTGCTCCACTTCTTCAAAACTGGCATCAACTTGATCCGCATGAGGGCGACCAGGGCGAGCTGCATCTTTGACATCAAAAGGTTCGTACTGAAATCGTTTGAACCAACGTTTGGTCCATAAACGTCAACAAAATTTTTCGCGAATTGAGTCGAATTTTTCCCTTTTTTATAATAAAACTTCAGAATGTGTCGAATTTCTTCGTTAGATTCAATCATTTTGACACATAGAAAAACAATTGAAAAAGTGTTTCCGTTTTGATGGAATCGAGGCAATCCATCTAAGTCCTCAAGGGTGACAACGCATCTTCATTTTGATTCTTAATCGAGGTTAAATGTAGATGTCTATGGGCCACAGCATCCACTTACCATCAGGTGGGTTGTGTGCTCGTTTATCACCCTTATCCTATAAAAAAAGTTACAAACAGTGCAATGAAAGTGATTTTTCTTTAATTTCTAACCAGTTCTAAACAAACTCAACAACAACGGAAGCCTAAAGTTATCGTATGAAAGTTTCCAAAAGACTATGTATACATAATATATAGAATAGAACAAGCTCTAAGCACATTCCCCGGCGAGAGATTTCTCCTTTTCGTGTCCCGGCCCAAAATATTCCATGACATAATATAACTATTGAAGCTAAGTGCGGATTATTTTTCCCTTTAATGACGGGTTTCATCATACCTTAATAAAAATCTTATTCAGAATAACAAGAAATATTTGTGTATTATGTCATAGATATAGCAACTAAATAATTGAAACTAAAAAAATAGCAATAAAACTAAAATTAGTGGTACTGAGGTATTGTAAAAGTTTTGATAGAATCAGTCTGACGCAAGTTTGAACTATTAAACTCGGGCTTCTTTCTGAAGAACTGATTCACAATGTTCTTCATACTGTAATAAAAATTTTTTTTTTTATGTAGGTCCCCAAAAAGGGGGGGGGGGGGGGCGGGGACAAGGGGGGGCGGCCCAACCCCTTGGGGTTTTTTTTTTTTGCGCTCGCGCGATAAAGCTATGCACCATCTCGAATAGTTCATTTATTTCCTGCTGTGTATCATAATGGCAATCTAAATGATAGACCGTGCACGTGCAGCCTGCTAGTTGCAGATTGATATCAGTAAATCCATGCAAAATTATCGAATCCAAACTCACAGAGGATATTCTGCTCACTCGTATGTCTGCATGCAGCTTTAGCAGAAATGCATTTCAGTTAGTTTGTTATAAATTTGTAGAATCTTATTTACTTCAGGCGTTAATACTCAGACCGGTGACGGGTGTTTTTTATAGGATAGGGTGACAAACGTGCACACAGTCCACCTGATGGTAAGTGGTTGCTGTGGCCCATAGACATCTACATCTATCCTCGATTACGAATCAAAATGCAAATGCGTTGTCACCCTTGAGGACTAAGATGGAATGCCTCGTTTCCAGTAAAAAGGGTCTCCGGTTCTCTACACTCAGCATACGAAACACAGCAGTATTAAGCTACTATTTTACGCTGGTATTCTGTGAGAGCGTGGTCCTTCCCTGGTTGAGCCTACCCATTTGTGCTATAACTATACTACTAATATAACTGCAGCATGGCTCTATCACGTATAAATGTGTTAATGTCAAAGTGGTCAAAGTAAAAGGTTGAGCTGAAACGTCTGGTAGAGATCGTCTAATTTATAGCTTGCCTCTGTGGTATCTTGACACTTTTATCATTTCATAAAATTTAAAAATTCTAGAAACTACTAAAACTTAATAGAAAGATCGCACTGATTTAGATTTTATGATACTAAACGTGACAATATGTACCATAAATACAAGAGAGACGCAGGCAGTTTTAAATTAGACGATTCTTTACTGCGGTTGTGAGTTCACCTGCCCAACATACTAAACCTAGTAATATATGTCAATAACTAAACATAAAAACGACTACATACAGTAAACTACTACACTTTTTTCTTCGGAAATTTTTGATATACGAACGATACGTAGATATACGCTCCGACCCCCAAATACGCAATCATTCTCAGAGGTGGTGACGTTGATTATAATGTCCTGCTGGTTGTGTTGATGATAATGTAATTGAATGTGATTGAATTTACTTACTCTAAACCTGTCAAAAACAACTTTTATCCAGTTTAATATCAAGGAAAACCACACTGAAAATATATCTATCAAGCTACATTGCTGTAAATTACTGAAAGATCGACAATGTTCATGCCATATGCTCCATAAATCTGATACTGTCAAATACCTAGGCGTTATTTTAGATTGTAAAATAAACTGGCTTAGTCATATAGATCTACAAACCTCTAGAGTAAGGAAGCTAATTTGGGCGTTTAAACATCTAAGGTATGTGGCTGATTTTGATACACTTCGCGTAGTATATTACGCGCTTGCTCAGTCAGTAATAAACTATTGTATTAGAGTTTGGGGTGGCGCATGCAAAACCCACATTTTGCGACTTGAAAGAGCCCAAAGGTCGTTGCTTAAAACGATGACTTTTAAGACGTTTGGATTCCCAACTAGAACACTCTATAGTGATTGTCAGGTTCTTACTATTAGGCAGTTATACATTTTACAACTTATAAGCAGACAACATCTTGCTACTGCATACGACAAAGATAAAATAGAAAGAAAACGTACAATAGTTAATGTCTTGACTCCAACCGCTTTCCGCACGTCCTTTGCCTGGCGCCAACATGATTATCTTAGTGTACATTTGTATAACAAAATAAACAAAATTCTTGACTTTTATCCACTTCCACTTTACAAATTTAACCCGTATGTGCTCAACTTTTTTTACTCGTAAAAGCTGGTATTTTTTTGTTTTATTCTAAGTCCAATTAGCATAAAAATAAAGGTTTTCTGAAAATTAAGTAATAAAAAAAAACCCATTTTGGACATTTTCACCGCCCCAATTTTGGGGCGCTGAGCACGGTAGACCACGTTCATAACAACTCCTTAAATTTATCAATTTTAATTAATTTAAAGAGTAATATTAATATAATAAATATTATAGAGGTTGTAAAGAAATTTTTATTATATTTAAAGAATATTTATTATATAATAGTGCTTATTCTATCAGTATTTATCATATATTTAGGAGTGGAAAATTTCAAAACAATTAGTATGACAGCCGACATCACATTTTCGGCATTTTTTCGTAGTATTTTTTATGGCATTCGGCACAACGTATCTGAGTTGCACTAGAAATAATTAAATGGTCAGCCCCATCTAGACGTACATCGTCTGGCACCCTCCTTTTCCTAGACGGCTTGATAGGACGGCCTAAAGAGCGAGCCGACGCATATCTTCGTAGATAAGTTGTAACCACAGACCTGATAAAGGCTAGGAAATCAAGATGCCCTTTCTCTTGCCCAGCTGGTGAGAGCCTGTACAACTGAAAAGCGTTATTCATTGAAGCGTTCAAGGGCCACATCAGAAGTTGCCAATACCATTTTTTTTTATTTATGCTAATGCGGTAGCAGCCTATGTTTTGATCTAGACGATCTACTCCGCCCATATATTGATTATACATTT